CCACCATGCCAGATAATGCTTACATATGTTATTGTGTATTATAAATTGACAAATCTAATTGTATGAAATCATATGACAGACCCTGGGTATTGAGGGTTACGTACCTCATTATGTGTTATATGTGCTCTTTCCTTATACAATAACTTCCTTATACAAGAAGAGACATTTTTGTTGTTATGAGCTATAACTCTGAAGCACATGATTTAAATTATGACGGGGTATGTCTCACAGTCCTTGTGCTCTGCTGCTATTCGCTCTTAAGAACAACAGTGTTGAAGCCAGTCGTTGCTGGTACTGCAAACCCAATTAGAGATGGAAAGAGAGACACAGAGGTCAGACAGGGACAAAGAGGAGGAGGGGGAGAGTTAAGCATTACTCAAGTGTATGAGAGTGTGTGTGTGCATGTTATATTAATCTTGTGTTTGTGGGTGATTAATAGAGTAGAAGGAGTACAGTGCCTTCCTGTGTGAGTGTTATGTGAGTGTGTATTAGTAACACTAAAAGGAGTTTCCAGGTTGCTGTGATGTTGCTACCATGAGTCACAGGCTCTATTGACAGATATAACCATGCACTACTGATTAATAATATCAGGGACTGTTAATTATTTATCAGAGGAGGGGTGGCTGGGGTGTGACTCCATTTTTTTTTACCCTGCCTGCAGCTACATATATTTTTCCTTGAGCCACCCTGAGTGACTGGCTGAAAATGCATGACCCTCCCTTCACCATAAATTAATCATTAGATATTTAAAACTTAACCTCTGGTGTTGGAAAATTAAAAGTGTTGTGCATACAAGTTAGTTCATGCAAATGGTTTTTTATTGTCCAAATTTGAAATGAGAAATGTAGAATTAAGTGATTTTGATGAAATTTCACTAGTTTAATCTCAGATTTGGTAATTTTTTTTTTCAAACTGAAGTGTTTGTCCAACATCATGTGTTCAAGGACTGTCAGAAATGTGAAAATCCAACAATATTTCTGTTTTGACAGTTTCTGGCTGTGATAAATAGTTAAGTTTGGCAATTTTTAAAGAAAACATGCATGTTTTTTAAATTTAGGTAAGCATCTATAAAACATATGGTGGAGTGTGTAAAACTTCTGACTTTCTCAGCTATAAACTTAACCCCCAACATGCCATTTCCCTGTTTTGTTGTCTTTAAGCTTTAAGGTTATCAAAATCTGTTACTATCTTTTCTAATATAACAGGGCACATTATTTTTTATAGATCAATTGATGATTTGGTCTGTAAAACATCATAAATCTACTATAAAGTAAGACAAAAAAATCAGCAAATTCTGAAAGTAAAAACATTTAAAATAGCCATTAAATATGCGGCATTCTTTCTTATAAAATGACCTACATGGTTAATTGATGTCCAAAATGATTGTCGATAATTTTCTTACCATCAACTAATTGATGAATGGACTAATCGTTGCAACTCTTCCAGATGTTATTTGCATAATTTCCCCCCAAAATCCAACCTGACATATTTGATACTGGCAAATTTGGGATCTCTTCAGGAATTTAAAGGAACAGTTCATCCCCAAATCAAAAATACATATTTTCCTCTAACTTGTAGTGCTCAATAATCAGCTTGATTGTTTTGGTGTGAGTTGCTAAGTGTTGGAGATATCAGCAGTGGAGATGTCTGCCTTCTCTCCAGGATAATGGAGAGCACTTGTGGTTCTCAAAGCACCAAAAACATGTATTTGAAAAACTCAACAGCAATGTCTCTTTCCAGACCCCATGACCCAGTTACTCAAGATAATCCACAGACCTTGTTGTGAGCAGTCTCATGGAGGAACTATTTTGTTTCTACTAAAGTACACCTGCCAACCAAATCACTGCACAGGGGGAAGCATGCATCTATTCATGGATGAGAGGCTCTTGCTCCTGACAGCTGGAGACGTAAACATTAATGGCATCTTTGCCATTTGCTTAAAAGGTGTAGTTTGGTAGAGGAAAGAAAGAAGAAAAGAAATAGTTACATGTGGTTTTGCTTTTGTTTCTTTTGCACTTTTAGCACCACAAGCCGAGTGGACAGAGAAGACAGACAACACTCTGCAACTCACACCAAAACAGACAAGACTAAGAAGTAGCATGACAGCAACTTAAACAAATGAACGTTGCATCTTTTATGTGGATGATAAAATAGCCATGTCAGCTGTTTATTCATAATGTCAGCAGTTTTCAGTGAGATATACAGGCACAGTTTACTTTTAATGTGCAGAGTGCCGATTCAATATGAGCCACAGACGGTGACAGCTGTCTTTTCTTTTCTTCAGAGCCAGGCTGCAGTCACCATACAGGGGTGTAAGGTCACAAGAGAGGGTCGTGTATCCATACTCAGCTTCATTATCTAAACATCTGTTTCATGTTCGACTCCCTGTGTGTACATAACCACGTGCACACATGTGTACATCCACATGTGTGCACAGTCATGCAGAGTTAAAAAGATTCTGCATTGATTTTCTGCTGACTGCTGGGCAGAACAGAGGAACACAGAGAGAGAAGGAAGATGGGAAGACAAGAACAAAGGAAGAAGGAAGGAAATGAGAGGGAATAGAGGAGACAAGAGAAAGCGTGGCCTTGAGTGTTTTGAATAGAGGTGAGAGGCCGAGCTTCAGGGAGGGTGTGTGGTCAGCTGCAGGTCGTGATTGGTGGAAACACGAATGGGAGACTTTCCATCTGGGAGAAGTCATGTGCAACTCTGACGGAAACACTGTTAACACGCACTTACACGCAAACCAAAATACTTGAAGTGACACAGGAGGCAGCGACAACAATAAAAGAGACCCGATAATGTTGGTGCCAGCTGACACATCACAAGCAAATGCACATGCCTGATGTGAATGTAAACAAACACAGCTCCCAGTCACAGCACACACTGTTTCCTCAGCTGAGACAAATAGAGGCCCCGACCACGCTGAGGCTGTCAGCTACCAAAACTGTTCTGCTCATTTGTTCCAGGAACACAACCCTACATTAGTACTTTCTCAGAAAATGAGTGGTGTAACCTCAGCACAGACTGTTATAGGGGACGGCTGCTGGATGCCGTCAAAAAAGAAAAGACTCATTTGTGAGCTAAAATTGTGACTAATAAAATCATCCTCTTCTTGATCACATCATGCTGAGTTAACATGATGCTTATGTAAGAGACATGCTTGTGTAGATCAGCAACTCAAACACTGACAGACAGAGAAAAAGACAGAAATTGATGTGTTTCTTTATGGCTCAGAATCTGACATTGTGTGTTGCACCTTGAACGACCTGGCCCTGTTCACGTTACTGTAAAGACTACATTTTGTCATGGCTTCTCAGACAGCTTTAAATACACATATCAGTACATTTGTTGGAGGTTTGTCAGAGACACATACAGCACACAGCTTGAAAGCAAATCAAGCCTCAGAAGTATTAAATGACCGTCTAATCCAGGGACGTTGTATGCCACATACAGTCATAAAAACCAACATATTAACAACCAATCTTTCCCTTTCTTTTTGTGTAAAAAAGTCTGTTCTGGAAACATTCATCCATTTACAAAACAGATGATGAACAGCCTGATATATCTTAAGAAAAATAAGTGCAATTTCAACAGTATGTCTCAGCTTTTCCACATTCAGTCCGTCTACTACTCACTGTCATTACATGTGCATTTTTCGGTACATTTCAGCTCCTGTGACTGAAGTTTGCAATGCCTTATCATCTGGGTTCCACCCATATTGTTTAAAGATAGAAGTCTGACACAGATTCTTTTCTACTGAAACTGCTGACTGACTATATTTTGCACAATGTTAAATATCTTAAATATGACCACAATACATGTGCATTGTTTGCTCAGAAAACTGTATTTAGGGTAGAAAAGACCCCTCGAGCAGGATTTAACATAAAGTAGGCCACTCACTGTTTAACTTGCTCCTGAGACCTCTTAGCCTTCACAAGTGCATCACTATGAGATGTGCAAAATCATCCAGTGGGCCAGAATGGACCCTTTGGCGGGCCAATACTAGCCCACAGGTTGCATGTTTGACACCCCTGAACTAAATCAGACAACAAAGCTGCTGGACACAGTCCATTCAAGATGTGAGCTATTATCTTCTTTTTCTCCCTCAGTCTTATATTTTTCTTTTTCTACAAAGTAAGAACAGGCTTAAACAGCAATCAAAATACGGGTGTCACTAGACAAAACCTCATCTGTCAAAACAGTGAGAACTGGCACAGAGACAAGTGATCGTCTCCTCAGAGCATTTAGAACAAGTCAGTAAACCATCAAAACCAGAAAACGCACAATGATACTGTCACACACTTCCCTGTAATGTGTCTCTCTGAGTTGCCATAGGGCAGAGAAAGGTTCTGGGGGACTTTGGCTGTTGGGGGGGCTCATGTGTGGGAGTTTTGGTCAAAAAAATAAAAGGGCAGCAGGTGCTGTTGGAGCTGTTACACTGTCCTCCATCCTGTTTATTGTTTTATTAGTTGTTCAGTTGGGCAGACCCAGGACGCTCGGCTACAATACCACTTGTGATGTAAACTAAAAACTAGCTTTTCCAGACAGTTTGAAAATTATGACGAGATGTGTTGAGCAACAACATACCACCGTACTCATTAAAGGGGATCATTTCTATCTGCCTGTCATTTCTGGATTTTTGCTTGGGTGACTGACATCTGTGTACCGAACCTAGCCTGAAATTAAAGGACCTTGTTTTGAACTTTATTCCGTCCCTGAGTCTGCATTTGAGTCTGCAAAGAGACTCAAATGCAGACTCAGGGACCTTGTTTTGAACTTTATTCCGTCCCTGAGTCTGCATTTGAGTCTCTTTTGGTTCAGTGTGATAGCAATACACCACAGATATATATCTACATTTTGTGCTACTGATTTTCATGATATCACCCGGGTGATATCTCGTTTCATGAGTAAATATCAGTATCATATTTATTTATAGTCTGCTTGGTTAATCAGTGGGAATCTGTCTTTCTCTGCTTCCTGTTGGTTGTGTGTCTCACCGTGAGCGAGGTGAAGGTCAGGCAGATGCCTCCGAAGCCGTTCAGGGAGAGAGCCAAGAAAATGAGCGCTGACAGAACTGCGGAGAAAAACAGAAACACGGAAGAGTTAGAGCCAAAATCAACTCTCTCAGGAAAAGGCTGGAGGATACGTCTTCCACCTCGTCCCCCAAAAGACCAACCAGATGTTGCTAGATGATCAAACAGACATAGTTTATCTGAAGCATACTGAGGTCCTTATAAAGTGCATGTAACAGTTGGCACAGGAGCTCAGTAAACGTGCTGCAGGAATTAAAATATTGCATTTCAAGGTAGCACACAGGCACTTTGTGGTGTGTATTTTACACCATGTGTGTGGTGTGAAAGGAAGCTGACTATCTGCCATTATCTAGAACCTGATCCGATTTCGGTTGCGCTTATTCCACCTGACATTTCACAGCCACGACCAGAGGCCATCGGTGAGATATAATAGCTAAAAAGCTAGTTGTAAAAGAAGGAATGTATAGATCATTTGGAATCTACCCATTTTTACACCTTTGCACACCTGTCCAGTTGCAAATGGTTTAATACTAAGTAACACGCCCTCACTGTCTTGTCCACTGAGGTTTTTTTTTACTGCTTAAAAACTCGTGTAAATTAACACATCCTCAGTAACATGTGTAAACACTGAGAATGTTGCTCTTCCAGACAAACGGCTGGCCTTGTAATCTTTAAGTAAATCAAGATCTCGGGTGGTGTGCTTCCAGCTGTCACTTAAAACTTAAACTGAAAGATAACTGCAAGAGATAGTGTTCTTACGTCACACTGATGTCTGGCATGTTTTTTATTTAGAGCCTGTGTTTGTACTCACCATGAGGGTCATAGGCAGACACGGCCATCATAGCACAGGACAGAGCGAAACATGAACTGTAACAAAAGAACGACATTTTAAATTCTTTCGTGCTTCTTTCATATAATTTCTTCACAAAGTCACATATACATAATTAGTACAAACGATGACACACTTATAGAAACTGCCAGACGGCCATTACACAAATACTACAGAGTAACTAATGCTTGGTGACTCAGCCCTTCATGTCTGTGGGTGTAAATGTCTTGAGTCATACAACTGCCACGCTATTCAGTGAAAATGTGATTCACATGAGCTCAGACACAGTTTAATGTGGCCAGCAGATGTTTATATACCCGGATAAGTTACACAATATTTTCATACAAGAATAAAATTAAAAGTATGATACACAGTACAGTGGTTAAATCGTTGGCTATCTGCCAAAGACGGAAACTGACGGTTGTTTAACAGCCTGCAGCTCCAGATAAACTTCTCTTTTTCCATATCTATCAGCATTCAGCGTATTATCAAAGCACTGGGCTACTCAGTTTAATAGCTGCTGAAACTGTGAATGAGAAAGAGAAAGGGCGTGTGTGTGTGTACGTGTGTTCATAATGCATGTCTGTGCATATCCGTGCAGATACTACCAGTAATTCCTCTGTATTCTGGCAGTACCATTGTGTTCACGTGTGTCCACACCCAGTGAGAAAGAATTTCACTACTCACTATAAAAACAATGTGAACACACTCCACTGCTCCACCTTCATTTATTGATTTACACACAAAGAAAACCATTTTTGGAATGTGATCTGTTTACTTTTTGTTTTACTATGACCCTTGTATTTGAGGACATTCACTCCAGATTCTTATTATCATAACAATGATAAAGGAAATGTGAAGCAGTGAAGCCTCCAAATAAGACGTTCCACTCGGAAAATCTGTATTTCAAAAAGAGATTTAGGTTTTTGTGAATTATACTGAACACAAAAAGACACTTTACACTTTAACCAATTCAACCCCCAGCAGATATGCATTCCATTACAAATGGGACAGTCTGCGTTAAAACCATTACCTGCCCATCAGGCGAATTGGGCGCGGCCCAAACTTGTCCATCAGGATACCGAGCGGTAAGGTGGTGGCACTGAGCAAGAAGGAGCCAATGGTGAAACCCAGATTCAGCATCTCCTCCTGGTCCACACAGCTGAGCCACTCCTCCACCTCACCGCTGGAGGAGTTGCCCAAGGACACGACCACGGACTCATTCACTGTGGGAAAGAAATAAGAGGGGTGAGTAAGGAAATTATTGCAAAAAATAGGTCCCTCTCAAGCCTCTAAAAATAATCAGTCACAGCTGGTGTTGATATGCAATCAGAGACAAGGAGTTTGCAAGCAGACACTGATCCGAACTGAGGGATCACAAACTATAAAGGTCGGAAACCACTGACATTGGCTTCACCTCATTACGTCACAGACTCTAAGTACAGTGTGTGTAAAAAAAAAAAAAAAGATTATTGCAAAGGCAACCCAAGAATAACTAAAAAACAACAACAATGCGGTAAGCCTTCCTTTTGACAGATACTGGACTTAATAAAGTTGTCAAAGTAAAGAAATGAGCATAAAGCTATGATGCTACACTAAACATGGCAAAATGTAATGTTTTTAAGGTTATTAGATCGGTTAGAGTATCTATAAACAAATCCATCATCCTTTGGGTTGCCCCAGAAAATAAACAAAAATAAAACTCCAATGGGATAAATAGACTTATTTGTGATATTGGGATCTTAACTGCATAAAAATGAGTGTCGACACCAATCACAGACAGAGAGAATAAAACAATCCTCTGCAAAGTTTTATAGGAAGTTTTAGAGGAAGTGCATAATTTTCTGTAGCAGAGGTCTGAAATATGTCATTAGTTAAAGATATATATTTATAAGCAATTTTCATAAAGTTGTGAGAAGCCATGACGTTTCAATGTTGAGTATGTTTTTGGAGCTGTGTAAGAGAAACAAACAAACAAATTTGGGTTAAAGGTAGAGTCAGCAACTCTAGAGAAAGATTGTTGACATTTAAACTCATCACCCAAACAAATGCACCAAAATATGATGTCATCACTTCAAGCGCAAAGGCAGTGGAAGTTGTCACAGTAGTTGGTCGTGCAACTCTGAATTTTTTGAGCCCAGTGGGCACACTGTACTTTTCACTTTAACAGGGAAGACTGGCTGAGTAGTTTCGCCTGTCCAGACATTTCTACAACCCTTCATGAAGAGACAACTGGGACATTCGCATGGCCTTTTAATTAAGGTCACCACACTAGGGAAAAAAGAGTCTTTTTGCCGCAGTGTGTTTACGAACATGAGAGAGCGCTGTAAAAGTTAAAAGAAGTCCCATGGAAAGGGTGACAACCGCAGGGCCAACAAAGCAATATAGAATAATGTCTTCATGGAGGTAAGCAACGGCAATAATTACAGTACACAACTGTAATGTTTGACTGTGTTTGTACTGTTGGCATGCAGCCTACTTTTCTGATAATGTTTCTGCTATAACACTCGTTGATTTCATGCTTACAGAATACTTAATTTGCACGCCCCCTGATGTTTCAGTGCACATTGCAATAATTAGCCATTTAGCATAAACACCTCTGTGCATGATCACAGCTTGGCCATCTACGGAAGCAAGTATAAACAAAGCTTTACACATCCCTGGCCTTTTTTCTGTCCCATGCACAAGCACAAACACCCCCTGCTGCTGACTGGCTGAAATAGTGTTGTATAGTTCGGCCCTAGCCGATTTGTTTGCTTCCGATTTACAGAGTCATGGCACTGTATGAACACCTTATTTTTCTGAGACAATATTTGCTGAATTTGACGAAGTGTGTTGCGTTAAAATCGCTGACTGCACCTTTACGTGAAGGAGAGCTGGTGTAGTTACCTGAGCACAGGTGGGAGTAGAAGCCTTCCCTTTTCAGCATGATGAGTAGGGAGCCCCAGCCCAGCAGCACGGCCGAACACAGCAGGTTTTCAATCACCGCTGTCACTGCCATCCACCAGCGCCGCCTGTAGGCCTGGGGGAGAGAGGGCGCCATCGCTGTTGTTCTGTGATGGAAGAGAGGCAAGGAAGAAGGTGAGAGTTAGTATATTATCAAACTAGCATTGAGATGTCAGGCCATGTTAGTGGATACAGAACGGACCAACGTAACACATACAACAGCGTGAATTACAGCCAGGGCTAGTTTGCAATGCCTGTCCCTGGATCAGCCTTTATACAAATGGACGAAACTCTACAAGAAAATAAATATAAAGGGCTTGAGAATATATGCAAAGTAGGGTTGCAACCAAGGATTACTTTGATTATTGATCAATCTGTCAATTATTTTCTTGATTAATTGATTAGTGTTGTCCATCTCAAGTTCCCAGAGCTCAAGGTGACACCTTCAAATATCTCGTTTTACCCAATCAACAGTCAAAAATATAAATATATTCAATTTTCTATCAAAGGAAATAAGAAAACAAGCAATTATGCACATTTTTAGAACCTAAAATTAACCTATTTTTGCATAAACATGCTCAAACTATTATTTGACTATCAAAGTATTTTGCTAGTTATATTTTCCATCGATTGAAAAGTCGCTGCACCCTTTATACAAACAGCATAAAACAAACAATGATGCAATATAATCACCCATAAACTCAAAGACAAGCGTTAGATCATTCATGTCCAACCATCTGACTCCAACTTGAGTTTAAAAGGATCCATTTTGAGCTCTGTCCACGTTGATCAACAGAGAAGGGATTTACAAAAGGGCATCTCCTGTTTTTTCCACTACGTTTCACAAAATAATAAAAACAATATCTATGATATTTAATGTATTTTAAGTTTAAGTCAAGTTTTGAGTTACGTTTAAAGTTTAAGTTTAAGTTGACTTTTTATAAGTTTAAGTTTACTTCACTGAGGAGACCTGATGGAGCCGCTCCAGACGGGACCTTTTTCTCTCAGTTTGCCTAATGAGCACCCATGTGACCAGTCATTGTTTTGTAAATCCCACTTGGGTACCTGACACCTTGCGCTGCATTGTCCTCAGAAATGCACCCACTGAGCAGCTATTTCACTCTCAATTCTGACCAGAGGAAACAATGCTGAGCACCCGACGTGTCTGCTTTTGTTCTGGAAATAGGGACAGAATCTTAAAAGGGCGACATTTCCATCTGAAAGTTGGATTCAACGAGTCTTTCAACAGCGTGTAACCGCAGTTTAGCTTTGAGGCTAATCTCACTGGGATTACTGGGTCAAAAGTGAGTGTAAACAAACTACACACACACAAAGAGAATACTTATGACTCAGGACTTGACAGAACAAATAAAGTCAAGTTAATCATGACCACCTCAACACACGCACACACGCACAGGACAGATCATTGGTCACTGTCACCTGGGGCATTAGTGAGAATCCAGTCGTGATCACTGTGACAGAATAACACACAAACATGCACACACACATCTGGGAAACATTGACACAAGGAACAAAGATCCAAATATAACCAGCTATTCTATTTGGCGGAGCACCAGAGAAGAAGTGGAAAGGAACGGAGGGAGGAAGAGTCTCAGCCACTTGATTTAAAGAGAAGCATGTGTGTGTGTGTGTGTCTGTGTGTGTGTGTGTATGGGGGTCAGTCAAGGCCTCGAACAGGAAACATTGAGTAATTCCTAATGAGGGCTTCTCCTCTGCGTGTGTGTGTGTGTGTGTGTTGTATTGGCAAAGACGAGGAGATCTAATGGGACAGATTTGACTCTGCGTGTGTCCATGAGTCTGCGTATGTGCTCGTGACGCGTGCATGTAATGCGATTATTCATAGCCCACTGAACTGCCTTTGTGCTGAAAAGGAAGTTTGAAAAGGGGGGATTTCTATGTAACTGACACCCCATGCTGAAAACCCCATACACACACACACGCTCCCCAACTCTTAACAATGAGGCGACAGAACAAAATGGCGCTCATTCACTCAGTCCCGTAAGTGTATAATCCACACGTCAACGTGTTAATTAAATTACAAGAGCGTATATGTGAAAAAGAGGGTAACTTTTTGCCAATTAGTAACTTAAAGCAGGGTTAAAACTTTTACGGTTCAGAGTATAGAGTGCCGATTATTACAAAGTTGGTGTGCACATACAAGGAATTTGCTCTGGTGTACTGGTGCGTAACATAAACAAGAAATTAAAAATAAAAACAAGGACAACTAATGACTGTTTTTGTAATCGATTTATCTTCTTGATAAATCATCCAGCCTATAAAGCAGCAGAAAACCTTCAAAAATGGTCATCGCAACTTCCTACAGCCTAATGCGTCCTTTTATAAAAGTTTTGTTTCGTCCGACCAACAGTCCAAAACTCCAGAATATTCAATTCACTGTAACATAAGACCAAGAAAAGAAGTAAATTCTCACATTAGAGAAGCAGAAACTGTCCAGCTGATGGTATTTATGCTTGAAGCAGCAAGACAGATCAGCACAGCTTCAGGGCCCAGACATACCAAACCGACAGCAGAGAACTAAAGGCGATGAAGGCCACCTCGCATCGCATGTGTCTCATCCAAAAAGTTGCACTTGAACACACCACAAAGACTAAAGCCAAGGCCAACTAACAGGTGCGTTCTGCGCCTGCATGCGAGAAAATAACTCTCCATAGCAGCGGGTGCCAGTACTGTTTGTGCAAAAAGGGAAACTGGAAGTTAGCCAGTGACCACATTAATGACACAACCCAATATTTACCATCAGGCAGTGAACAACAACACAGTTCCTGCAAAAGAGCCCAATGGCTAAAAAATAATACCTAAGATAGCTAGCTTGCTTTGATCTCATGCTCTCGTGACTTTGTCCATTTCGTCGCTTTTGTTACCTCCTTTTTTTCTTCTCGTGCCAATCACAGTGATTTCATTTACTGATGGGTTCTGCGCCTCAGGTGGTGATTCAACATGCTGAGTCATTCGAAAAAGCCAACAAGGGCCGGCTAGTTCCGACAGTGTGGGATATACTGCAAAAACTAGAGCGACAGACGCTCACCGACGACCCAACTTTGGCCAACAGCCGACTGTCGGCTTGGTGTTCGGTCGCCTGTTTACTTCCTCCATCAAAATCCTCTTTTGTCTTTTCGCCTCTGCCCTGATGTCTGTTACTGAGAATACCTAGCTAGCTATTTTTTTTTTTTTTAATTTTTACTTTAAACCGCCAACCAACATGTTAAACGAAAATCCCACACAACAACATGAAAACCAGCACCAAACAGTCGAGCTAGCTGGTGCCGTGAAGCATTTCGTTCTGGTGATCCACCCCACATATCGCAGGAACAGTCGTGGGAATGTGGGAATGACGGAGGTGCCACTCTCCCTATTACAAGTCAGTGTGTCATCAAAATAATGTTGAAGCCGTTATTTAAAAGTAAAAAGTTGCATAATGTTGCTTTAAGCACAGAACTATCTCAGAACTGTCCACATTGTAGACATAAAATGTTAAAAATGACTTGTTAATGTGTTAATCTGTCAGAACGGACACAGCGACCATTCTGTCAAACATGAACTGACACACTCCATTAAAGGCCTAAGTATAGAGCCTACTGTCACATGGACTGGATTTACGGTGCTGTGGCTGCAACTCACAATAAACATCACACACACTCATTGCTCGGGAGACAATGTTGTCATGCCTCCTCGGTGTCACGACGACAACAGACCACGTGTGTTTATGTGAGAATGGTATCAGTTGCTCCTCAGTGTGTATTTGAGCTCAGGTTATAAAGCCACTGCTGCCACTTATAGTTTCCACCCATTCTTCCTCCTCCCTGTTTTCCCGCCAGTCTGCGCTGCTTGTCAGGGCAGCAGTTATTTGGTAACTGCAAGATGTCATTAAGGCGTGTCCTGGTGTTGATACGCGGGAAAGGTCAACACTCAACAAAGACTTGCAAACAAGCTAAAACACAAAAAGGCAACGTCTATTTGGGGTTGGCACGCAGTTGTGAGGCCTTGTCATAACACTGTGAAGTGTGTGTGTGAAGAGCAGGTGAAGACTGCACTGAGCTGAACACCAAATAAGGAAACTGCTTCCTGAAATACCTGAGCACAAGCAGCTGATGCAATGTTGCTATGACTAAAAGTCTGTTGCTCCCATAGAGAGGTTTGGTATTTATAGCAGAGGAGGTTATATTGTGTTATATTTTGTAGTATTATTATTATTATTTTAAAAACCTTTTCCTCTGCTTCTGTATTAAACTTTAAGATGACCATGACACATTCAAGTGATCACATGTCCTGCTTTCTTTCATGTCTCTGTGTTGATGCTCCCACTCAGCCCTGCTCTCTTTTTCCCCGCAGGGATGTTTCTGACCTTGACCAGCCGTGTTTATGCACCTCTGCCGGACATAAAGGACCGCAGGCCAAACTCTTTATCCTCACAAGTCCCCAACAAAATAAACCACGCACCCTTGGAGCCTCTGTTCCCCGAGGCGTCCACAAACGCAACCCACAAACTGCCCAGGCGGCGAGCAGCTGTCTCTCCGCGGGCATGACCTCAGCCCGGGGTCCGGTTACCGGAACGGCGGGGCGGCCGCTGAAAAGACCCGTCCCGGAGCTAGTCTGCTGCCGCGTTCATGTGCTGTCCCAAAAGTCGGAATTGTGAGCACAGCGCACAAGAAAGATCCCCAAGAGGCGCAGTAGGGAGTTTCCAACAGGGCTCTCTATCAGAAAGGGATCTCTTGGTTCAAGTTAAAGGAAAGTTTGGGTTTAAATGAATAGATTTCTGTCAGAAAGCCTGCAAGGAAAACTTCTCTCACGTGCCCAAAGGTTGTTTCCCATGATACCACACATACCTACAGGTGACAGTGAAGGAGGCAGAAAGAGTCATGAAATCATTGACAAGAACATGTGGAAAAAGTTACTCATAGTTGTGCTGTTTTAATTGATTAATCGATTAAAAGAAAATGAATTGCCAGCATTTCTAATAACTGAATAATTATTTGACTGATTTAAGAGGCAAAAACTGCCACAACACACCCCAAGATTGGCAGCCCCAGCTTCTCAAGTGTTTTATAACACTGTACATTAGGGCTGCAACTACCGATTATTTTCATTGTCGACTAATCTGCTGATTATTTCTTCGATTAGTCAACTAATCATTTTATCGAAAAATGTGTTAAAACGTTGAAAAATGTCGGTCTGTCTCTCCCAAACCCCAAAATTATGTCATTTAATGTCTTGTTTCGTACTCACGCCAAAGGGTTTTAGTTCAGAGTGTGTAAAGCTGCCAATATCTGAACGTAACAAGCTGCAATACGAGTATTTTGGGGTACTTTTATAGTACTTTTCTATGAACAATGACTCAAACAGATTAGTCGACTTCTAAAGTAGTCACTGATTATTTTAATAGTCGATTAGTCATTGATTAGTCGACTAATCGTTGCAGCCCTACTGTACATTATTTATCATCAAAAACAAGTATTTGAAGATGTCACATTTTGCTCTGCATAAATTGTGATGGACATTTTCACTATTTTCTGAGGAGATATTTTAATCAAGACCAAAAATAACAGTTGTAGTTTATATGACACTTTTTGGCAACGAAACATGGAAGTTTTGGAACAGTTTTGTTAATTGATTTTTCAGTTGGTACAGGGAGTTTGTGACAATTTTGTTTTTGTTTTTTTTTACACATTGTTCAATTAATTCATTTGGGGCTGATATTGAGTGTAATCGTCTCATTGCTACTGTGTGACTTTAAATTGGTGTATTTTTAAAGTTATTTGTGAGTGGACCCCAAGAAGACTAGCAACCAGTTTGTGGAAGTTAATGCGGATCCGATTAACATGACATAAGCTTACTTTTTGTCATTATAATTATCACCACCTCTGTGTCTGAGTGACTTCAAGCAACACACCCCACACGTTATACATGCTCCTTTATTTTAAAGTTATTTTCCCATTAGAATCATAAAAGGTTTGTATAAAATCTGACTCTGAGGGGTGCCCCTGAAGGCAACAAAGGCCATGTCTTTATCTCACTAACCCCAACATGTCTGCCCACAGCTGCCGGCCAAAACTGTAATTTAACATTTCAATTAGGGTGTGATAAAACGCATGTAGCTGTGTGATTATTATAGGCTTACAAATGACACAATATACCAAAGCAGGAGTTTACCACTTACAGGAAGATAAACACTGGAGCCACTATAACAGCATGAGCAGCCACATATCTAAATGGTCACTTCCTAGACAGCCCGCTGCTTTCAGGTTATTACTCACCCCTTCTTTTGTGGTTTCTATTGACACTTTCTCTGAGTGTGTGTGTGGGAAAGCCCAAAATATGAAACTTTTTTTTCTATCACACATATTGGCGGGTTTAACAGACTGTGCAAAGAGAGACTTCAGTATGTTGAATTTCCTCTTTGTATTTGACGTCCCAGTTTCATGCCACGTGTGAGTATCTGCAGCCGGTTAGTCCTGCTGCCGCCACTTTACACACACGTAATTATATTTCATTTACACTACTATACTTAATTCACACACACATAAAAACAATATAGTGAATACTTAAACAAAGAAACTCTTTTACTTACTTTAGTTGAGCGTCTTTTCAGAGAGGAAAAAATGCTTGAGATGTTGCTCACTGAGTGACAAAAGTAAGGATTAAAGAACTGCTCTAACAGCTGATTATTGTTGTTGTTGTTATTGTTGATTAGTAAGCAGTAAACCCCTGAATTAAACCCTCTCCTTTCCCTGCTTCCTTTCTTCTCTGTCGAGGTTTTAGTCTTTAACAGACTTCACACTACTTTCCCCTCTCTGGTTTCATTACAAACTCCCCCCCCTTCTCCTAATTTGACTTCTAATTCCCTCCCTCTTTCAATGGTTGGAGAGAAGTCATTCACCACTTCACAGGACGACTGACTTTACTCTGCTCGATGCAAATGTCTCTCATGGAGCCTGAAGCTAAAACGCCTCAGGTACAGTGAATATGGCGACTTTAAATGAAGTGTTCATCAGAAATGAAGCTGTAGCTGTAATATGCATATGATTATTAAACAAATAGGCAGTGCTGGGAGACGAACTGTCTTTTGTTTGAGTAAGAGTAGCACCACCACAGTGTAGAAACACTCTGTTACAAGTACAAGTCTTGCATTCATACCTCTTAGTACAAAAGTACTCATGATGCAGAATGACCCATTTCAGAATTATTATATTACTGTTTAATAATCATGATGCATCAGTTAGTATATTCCTTTAATGTTGCAGCTGCTAGAGATGGGGCTAATTTTAATGACTTTATACTGTAAAACTTAAGTTAAAAGCTTAGTCCCAATTAAACACCAAATGTGGCTACTGACAATGTCTCAATTAGACGCCTGGTCTGGTTGCCAAGCAGTTTTTTTTTTTATTTGTATTAGAAGTTCTTCAGAAAGCACGTATGAAGGCAAATCAAATTATATTTCCTTTCCTCGATTACCCTGTGAGTTATTCATATTCCTTTAGTCAGATCAAAAGATGTTTCTTAAAAATTAATCCAAGTTGTGAGTACTGTTTTAACAGGGATGAAGTGGTGTTGTGTCGGTATGCTGGGTGCTGTAACTGTCTCTCTCTGATGCACTGTTAGATCAAATGAATGACTTATAACTGATATGTTATATGATGCCTAATTTTTAAACAAGTAGTTCATACTGGTTTAAATACACAATCTGATCTTGTTTCCCATCTTTGCCGAGCAACAGTTTGGTGTGAAAGGAATTAAAGGCCTGTCCCATATTGATGCCTGTCCTAAATATAGGCCTGTTGAGTTCAGTGATTTAAGCAAGTTCTACGATATACACTTCATCTTTTGGGTTGCTTGTGAATTTCCCCTATGAATCAATATAGTCTTATCTTATAGGCTAAAAGTATATCATTATTTATTTGTTGATTACATCCTGCATTTTTAACTTGAATCTGCAAGGTAACCTAAGTTATCAAATAAATGTAGTGGAGTTAAAAGTACAGTATTTGCCTCTGAATTATAGTGGAGTGGAAGTGGGCCTACAAAGTAGTATAAAATGGAAACACTCAAGGAAAGAACAAGTATCTCAAAAGTGTACTTAGTTTCTTTCTTTCTTTTTCTTTCTTTCTTTAGTTTCAAATACACCTTAAAACAAACTTCATCTACATAACCTTTTGGCTGTTATTTCGCTGAAAGTTTATGCTGTATGTGTTGATGGGCATCTACTGGCTGATGCAAATGTCCTCTCAGATCAAACATCTACATACAACTACTTACAGCTACTTATTCAGTGCAATTATCCATCATGGGCATATCTGTATAAGTGAAAGCTGTATGTAGTGTATAAAGTGGTGGTCCATTTACAGTAGGCTCATCTCTCAGCCCAAAAGCCATTGGAATTATGGGACAGTATACCCACTTCCTCTGAGGTAACCTACCCACCTACCAAGCAGTGCACCCACCTCACCAATGACCACAGCATCACTAGGCTATATACATTTTATTTAATTACATTTATTCATTGACTAAATTATTTATTTATTCATTATTCTTTGTCTTGACCTTACTTTGGTCCATTGTTATATATCACTCACTTTATTTCCAATTTTTTTTTTCTTTGTTTTTGATTCTTGAGCTGTCGTAATAAGTGAATTTCCCCAGTGTGGGATCAAGTAAGTCCATCTCATTTACATTAATGCGTCTCTGTTATTATTGACATTTGAAACCTTCGGCCAGAGCAGACAATCTTAGATATTTGTCCAAACAAACAAGAAAATGTACCCATATATTTTTATTGTTGCCTTAAGCAGCAGTTTTCAGTGGTAATACTTGACTCATAACTTAGAGTTACAGCTTTAAATTTAAAGTTGAGGTAAAGTAAAATCTGAGATTTACATTTAAGCACATTATACGTCAGAGAACACTTATTGTAAACATGTAAAAAGACTGGGAACCTATATAGTGCTGAATTGTGGAGTTATTATTATTATTTATTTTGGGTGGCGCTAAAAGCTTGCTCAATGACGCAGTGGAGCAACCTTTAGCATAACCTCTGCCCCTACACTATAGAAGAACTAAAGACGTTCTGTAGTGGAGTTTTGGAGTTGTTTGAAAGAACAGAAGTTCCCATTCTGTTGCAGACTGAGAAGAATTAGGCTGAATTTCGGGCAGGTCAGTGTCCTGTAGCTCTGAAATTCAATTCTAGCTAGCAGCACATATGGCTGTACAAGTCCAATACAGCTGCTAGATGAAGCATTCACTGTAGTGCTACAATTAAAAGAGGTCGCAGCGTTCCAGCGAGTGGCCATGGCTTGGGCGCACTCAGTGGACATATACCCTCAGCATCTCACAGCTGAGAATACTGCCTCCTTTTACATGATTTTGAAACTTAATTCATATACTTGGTGACTTTTTAAATCATTCAAATTTGGCTGAGGGCATAAGAACACTTCTTTCTGTGGTGTGACAAACTAATAACTCATATTAATTTTTGCTTTATTCAGACTTTAAAGGTGCACCGTGGAGTTTTCCCATAAACAACGTTTCTGTTTACATTCACTGTTACTAACCAACGCAAATTGTTTGTACTCTTGAGGCCTAACAAACACGATGAAAACATTTCCTCCCTCAACAAATATTTGCAGAGAAGATGTTTTTTGTTTTGTTTTCTTTTATTGTGTTCTGGCCATGTTTTTCTGCAGGTAGTCTTATTTATCATGGTGTTTGTGGCTCATCACAGATCACAGACACCTGTTGATGTCAGGAAGTGTGCAACAGGCACAATGGAGACGAGTAGCTGCAGACACATTCCATTTGTAGCGTACGCGTGGGCCTTTATGACCCACGCCCACCACCAGTTAAAGACAAACCCACCAATGCAACGGCTATCTGAACCCTGCTACAACACCATGTGTTACGAACAGGGACAAGCATAACAATAATCCATTTCATATTTACTATACAAGAAGACGTGATTCATCTTATAAGAAGTGAGATGTACCCTAACCCTAACCACTGGGTTGTGTGCTTCATAGTTAGCTAAATGCTAATTTAGCATTGTCTTCAGGGCTGATTGTGGACTGACTTGTAGGTTATGGCGGGCAGCTACAGCTGCAGCAATACCTACACAGAGCAATGGGCCTTTCACTCAGTCAGTTTCCGTCTTTAAGTCTTTTTCAAAACCTTACTTTCACAAATGTGTTTTTTAGTCTTTTATCTTTTTATAGCTCTTATTTAACCTGGTTGTTTTTGTTTTACTCTTTTATGTTGTCATCTTTGTACTTTAAGTTGTTCATTTACCTGATTTTTTTTTTTTTTGCAGATCCTTTGTAACCTTTTGAAAAATGCTATATAAATAAACTCTGACAAAGCATTGGTAGAAATGTATTTTGCGTCAAAAGTGACTTCACGTGTATGAACAAAAACAACAGCGTACCCTCATACAATGGTTTGTATGATATCCTATGACAAAGCACCCCACAACTGAGGTTCCATTCTTAATGTAAAGTTACGTAATTAATATAAAGTTACGGAGGTTTGGTTTAGGAAAGTAAAGTTACTGTGGTTAGGTTTAGGGAAAAAATATGGTGAGGACATACTTTAACATGACTCAAACTTAACTCAATGTTCACATGGCTCTGAACACCAGTCTCCTGGGGGATGTCCCGTGTTTCATGACCCATTTACCACTGCAACCTGCCCCCTAACTGGACCATTTGGGACCACCTTTACTCCCATCAGTGCATTGGTCACTTGATTGCCACCTTCCAAAATACATAGAGTTATGCATGAATTACTGGCTCAGCATTTTGTGGGATATGTACGAATTTTGGTGCATTACTTTTTGTAGGGAAACATAGCACACTTCTCTTTGCATGGTGATTTGGTTGGCGGGTGTACTTCAGTAGACAGAAAATAGTTCCTACATGAAACTGCTCACAACAAGGTCTGTGGATTATCTTGAGTAACCAGGTCATGATTTCTGGAAAGAGACATTGCTGCTGAGTTTTTCAGCAGTATTTTTTTGGCATTTTGAGCACCACAAGCCGAGTGCCATCTAGTTCAATTATATTCAAGGCAGAAATCTCTACGGCCAGTGTCTCCAGCACTCAGCAACTCACATTAAAACAATGTAGATTGATAAACAGCACTATAGGTAAGAGGAAATATATATATGTTTGATTTTGAGGTGAACTGTCCCTTTAACTTTCCTGTATGAGCAAAACTTTCTGCTTCCATCTTTATTACTTCCTTGAATTGATAGCTGAGCTCTAATAATTCTCTTGTAATTTCAGGTTTCCAGACAAAAGTATTAGTCCTGCTTATTCATTCACTCCCACAGTGCTCACGCCATGAAGGGATAATCTGCTCCCTGCTGGGCTCTACAGGGAAGTGTCCAGTTTTCCATTTCAAACATACAGCAATTTGCTATGGTCAGTTCCTTACACTCACAGCTTTACAGTTAGTCCTGAAACATTTGTTCCAGCTGCAGGGATAAAATCTTGGAACTCTGGGCCCCCAGTTTCTTAATAAAATAATCCGCTTGGAATTTGTGTGAGCTCTCTCCAGCTGTGGACACCTGGAAATGTCACCTTTAACCCCACCTGCAAACTGCAGTGTCCACGTGCGCAAGTACAAGTCAGGTCAGGTTATACTCAGTTTGACAATGGAGTATTGTACTTACCTCACAGCGGGGACGCCTGATAGAAATAGGTGATTATACACAGAGTGGACACAGTGCAGAACAGCCCACGATTAATTAAAACTGCTGTGAAACTCCCACTCTCACCAAGTTTGTGGTGCTCAA